TTTCATTATTATCAAACTGTAAAATTAAGCTTTAATTTGATCTATTTAAGTCAAAACTAATGTAAGAGTATTGCTGACCTACAGACAGGCATGGGAGAATTCACAATCTTGATAATTCAATTTGCTGCCACATTTTGCTGTCTAATTGTAGCAGCTTCTCCTGGTGTATAAGTTTTCTTTTATATAAACTAATGTGCTGGTGTAAAATGTCTGTTGCTCCAAATGTAATTTTATTTGTTAAAGAGGTAACTGAATAAGTTCTCAAGGTCAGTTTAAATTTCTTGGCTATTAAAAGGAATTTTGAACTAAAACTTTATCATTATGCTAGAATACTGACATCACATATATAATTTAGACATATAAGCGACTTCCTCAGTACTGGAAGTTAGACATTGAAAAGCATTTGTTGTTTTCATACAATGACTGCTAAAATCCATGGAAAAATTCCAAGGACTTTAATAAGCTTTGAATTGGGCACATTATTACTATGAATGTAATTCTGGATACCTCCCATAACATCTAGGCCATGTGAGAAACTTAGGAAAAGCAATTAACATTCTTGCATCGACTTTTGTATTTACATTTGAAATTTACCATTTAAGACTTTAATTCTCCATAAAACTGCTTAAATATACATAACTTCAGTGTTATTTAAATGTTTTATGATCTTCCTGAAATTATCCTCTAATTAAAATCACTTACTTAACTTAGTATCTTAAATTTACCTACTTTTATTTTATTTGGAAGGAATTGGATTTAATGTGCAGGTTTTGTTCATTTTCTTTCTGAGGAAATCTTAATTTGGAAGGAAAATTATGATTATATGGTAGGGAGAAGGATGTCTTGAAGGCTGCAGACTTAAACTAGTGGTAATCATTAGCTACCATGTACGACATGATGTATATAATTAAGAAATAAATTTATTACAGAAACTTGGAATTATCAATTAAAAAGTAGTCAGTGTGGTCCCCCAAGGTCTGATATGATTACCTGCCTTATCTGGGCTGTCACTTCCAATGCTGGCTGGAATCTCAAAGACCTCAGAGGGGACTCCCTGTGTCAAGTTAAATAAGTGAGACAACCTTAGTGGAAAAATGCAGTGATATGAGCGGGTGCAAACAGAACTCTTTTAGAGGAGAATAAAGAGATCAATTTAAACCTGAATATTACTGGCAAGCTGCTCTTCCTTCCTAATGTACATCTGAATGGACTGGCAGGACCACTCCCTTTGTGGCTGTAGCCCAGTCTGCTTGATGTGCTAAGGAAAGCTGAACCTCAGGGGCAATAAAGGACACCCCAGCCTGTTACATCTTTTTCTTACCTATAACCTCTGCAGACTTTGATCTTTCCTTTGAGTTTCCTCGGGTTTAAAGCCAGAAGAGACAGTTAAATTATCTACTCTGAGCTTGTATATATGCCAGGGCACTACACTACACTCACTGGCCTCCTTTTCTCTAAGCTCCTCCTAAGTCATCCCACTGATCCACAAACATGTCTCAATTATGAGGCAGTGAATCAGTGTAAAAAAATAAACAGCCCCTCCCACCTGCCTTTGTCTCCAAAATCTCAGCTCCAGCAAAATTCTGTTGCTCACCCTGAAACAGAATGAAAAATTTGGCATCCTCTGATGAATTAGATTTTGTTTTTCGCACAGCGTCTCACATCTTTATTGCTCTGGGCTCTAGTTTGGACTGAAAATAAAATTAATAGAAAGTGTCACCTCATCATATTTTTTACCTGATTGGTGTAGATGGATCTTAAATACTTTATATCCAGCTATGGAGGCTGAATACACCTTTTTATGAATTCAGAAACAAACTGAATAAAGTTAAAACACAAGTTGTTCATCCATAGACTCAACATAAAAACCTAATTTTTAGAAGCACTATAAAACTTCTTCAAACCAATATACATCAAGAAACATAATATACTATTCACAACTCCAGTACCTGCCCATGCAGTAAAACTTTTGACATTTACCAGAAACAGAGAAAAGGAATACAACAAAACTCATGATAGGGATTTTCACTATATGATTTGAAGACTGTCTGTTGGCTCCAAAATAAAGACTCCTGGAGACACAAGGAGCCTGACAGACAGTGATTGTCTCCTCTTTTAAAACTGTGCTGACAGCATCAACTGTTGTTCACTTTGGTGTCAGGGAGTGTCAGGAGGAGTGAAACACTTCTTACCTTTCCACGTCATGCAAAATTTAGCGCCTCTGTCTTTCCCTGGATTCGCCCCACGAGCGATCCAAACGTGCACAACAAAACCACATGAAACTCAGATGATTTCAGATCATGTTACAAAGTCAAAACACAGAACAGATTCACAGAAACATTTGCTAAGGTTCACCAACCTGTTGAGTGAACCTGGGCCCCGTTCCAAGCAAATCTGGATTGATTAATGTTTTCTTTAAATCAACATCACCTGATGTTCTCTGCTACTGATGGGAATCTCAGCTTTTACTTTCCTCTTTGGGATTTTGGACTGGTGTAAGTACACAGCTGAAAACAGCACATGGAATAAACATTCATCTCTGTATAACTGAAGAACATGTATTGCTGCTTCTGCAAGGAAATAAAATATTGCAAAACCTTATCCCTCCAGCCTCATCAGTATTTTGCACTATTATGAGCTTTTGGGGGAGGGCTTGGTGTAGGGCTCTTATCAAACTGTTGTTGCATTTAAGAACACAGCAGTAAAGGAGCTCTTTCTGCATTTCAACCATGGGATCAAATCGAGATACACTCAGCTGTACAAGGAGTGGAACCTCTCTAATGGATCTCTTGAAATCAATGGAACTACTTATGGAGTAATATACCATTACCCATTGTGAGTGAGAGCTACTGTAAATAAGCTTTGGGAAGTATATTCCAGCTACAGCTGTGCCTGGTGGTTTGTAATCTTCCAGCACTTGCTAAATATAAATAAATAAAATAAAGTGGGAGACAGTGATACTCTGGTTGCTGCTCTGACTGTACATTTGTTGGGAGTGTCCAAGCAATCAGAACACTCCATAAATACCTTGACATGCCTGTGGGATTCCATGCTAACTTACAATCCATCACTGAAGCAGGCAGCAGCTCTTGAAGACATGCTAAAGCACTTCTAGGTTGAATGTAATTCATTGTTACACTCTCTGCTTGAGTGCTTATTTCCTCTTTCAGGAAGAAGTGGCTACACGTGGAGCAGCTGTAGGCTGGAAATTTCACTTAAAATTTGCACCATATTAAGTAATTATTGAGCAAAAGCTCTGTATTTTATCACTTGATTTATCTTCTTTCTATACAAATAGCAACCTTTGTCAGCAACCTTTACATTCAGGAATTCTACTTTGAACAAAGCATGTCTATACCTATATCTTTATCTGAAAACTGACAAGTTTTCAGGATTGAGACAGGTAAAACTATTCAGATAGACAAGAAGAACCTGTCCCACCCTGTTCTCACTAGACATACATAAGTATGTATTTTGTGTATCTAAAAGATACCTGTTCATCACATAGTTGTGCTATTTTTTTTTTTTTTTGACTGTGACTCCTTGCTTCAGAGAAACAAAAAACTGGGGAAAATAATAAAGAACTGCCAAAGCTTCTGCTGGAATAGAAAAGAAACAGGAATATTGTAAGACAGACTGTTCCCTCAATTTCTTCTGGCCAATTTTAAGTCCCAGCAGATTTGCAGAAACTTTGAACAAGCACAGAGGCCTGGCAGTGCTGACATGAGCTGAACCCTCTCTCCTTGTGAAATTCAACCACTGCAACTTCATAGGCAGCTCTGGCAAAACACAGACAAGATCAACCCGAACGAAAAAGAGATTTAAAACTGACTGGATTCTTAAGGAGAACTTTTGTCAGCAACTGAAAAAGGCCCCAGCATTTCATCAGGGAACTTCCTAGCAGCTTAATTCCTCACTGATACGTTTGTGCTGCTGGGTTCATCCCCGGTGTCCTGGGCTCCTGCTTTTCCTTTTGCTGCTGACTTAGACGTCGGTGTCCACTAAGGATCTAAGAAAAGGAATCTTTAATGTTCAGGCTGTAAATATGCCACAGAGTCCCAAGAGCCCAACATATGTCAAAGGCATGAAATGATGGCCGTGAAAGGGAGTCCTACATCTGTGTTTGCTTAGCTGAAGAACTGCAGGGCTGACCTGTGGACTGATGTGGCTGTTTAATATGGTCTCTGCAAACCGTTCAATAACATCAGAACTGCTGGTTAATCCTCTTACCAGTACCATTGACATTATTTCATGTTCTACTAATTCCAAGCCATCTGTAGAAATACTTGCCTCTCTGGCAAGACAATAGACAGTGGCTGAATTTTTTAAAAGGCTGCAGCTCTAATAATCGTCCGGGTATAATTTCAGAGCAAGATTATTAATTTTTTTATGGCAGCATTTTTGCATAATGTTATAGCGTGAGTCTCACCTCATTTTACTTGTGCAAGTCAGGAATAAAGGTAATTAAAATGCATGGGAAGGACTGAACTTTGAAATAGAGTATTCTGAAACTAATATCCAAGTATATTTTGAGATCATATCTCCAAAGGTGTTCACATACAAAAACCTCAATTATTTGGATTTTGGAAGAATAAAAATTATATTTCAAATGGACAAAATAAAAAAGGTGGGATTTGAAAAACTTCAGAGGTATCTATATTTCTATTTTTCAACTTAAGCAGTTTCTGCAACATTTTTCTTTTCATTTGAATTTCCCATGTAGAGTTTGTGACAATCATAAAAACTGACAAAATCAGCTTTTTCACACAGTGATTCCCAATTCAGTGTTGAACATTAAAAAAAAAAACCCACTCAAAATTACCCAAAAATTAATGAAAGAAATGCCTGGTTAATAAAAACAATCTCTCTCAATGATTTTCCCATGTATTTCCAAAGAATCCCAAAGAGTGCTAGACCACGGAGGAGAATGATGCAAAGGAGTACAAACTTTCTGACTTTGGAAGGAACTAATGTTTTTGAAGCTGTCCAATCATTCTTACCTCTCTTTGCAACCTTTAGGGAGTCACAATCCATCCAGGAGAATCAATTATTGAATGTAACAGTAAGAGCCTTGTGTCACCACTCCTATCATGTCATTGTCTTCTGTCGGGGAGCCATGTGGGTCTGAAACCAAAGCAGACACAGAGTGTGAATGAACTGCAAAAACACCAAACCATTTCAAAATCTGGGAGACTGGCTAACACCACTGTCCTGCTCTGAGCATGGCACAGCACAGAAACTGGTGGAGGAAAGAATGTTTCTGTACACAACACACTCAAGCCCCCACTATCACTTAATCCCTCTTCCATCTCCGCCAAATTCCAGCTGCAGCCTCCAAAGGAGCAGAGCTAACACAAAGTAAGTCATATCTATTGGCTTCTCTGCCAGCATTTCACAACAGATATCATCTGATTAGGTGCTAAGTGGGACTATTTGCACTTTTGCTTATGGCACATATAATTATGTAATTCTGTAAAATGCCCAAATGACTGTTTAAGCAGCAGCTGCACACAACAGAGGCATTGGTTGGACAGCACAGAAAATACAAATTAAAATAAAACCGGCACAGGAAAAAAAATACACAGATAACACGTACATATATATGTATTTATACACCTTCAGGACTATCAAACACAGAACAAGATCATGTCAATGAAACCACTGAAAAGCAGGACTCTGCCTCTTGCTCCTTGAAAGCTTTGCAGTGATGTCCAGTGACATTTGACTTACTTTTCCTAATTTTCAGATGGCACATGTCCTAATTTCATTTCCCAAGAACAGAGCTCCCATAAGCTTTGATTAGAGGAGTAACAAAGTATCAAGGTTAGTTTGAAGTGCTGTTATATTTTAAAATACATCCTTCTAAGCATATGGGTGAGATGGTTGCAGTGGTAGGAGTCTGCCACAGAGGTGCTCCACAGAGGTCAAAAGGAGATCACTATTTGTTTAATTTAAATATATCAATTTGTTAAACAAGGAGCTTCTGAGATTATACGGTTGGAGGGTGGAGAGCAGAGAAAGATAATTATTTTTGTTTGCATAAATCATTTTCTTATTACTTGGGGATCAGGGTGGTATTGTTTGGGTTGGAGAAAGGAGGGCAAAAGAAGATAACTGTATCAATTTGCTGATTGGGGTTACATGGGATTTTGCTGCTGGGGCTGGAGAAAGGAAAGAAGATCATTATTTTTATTTAAATAAATCAATTTGTTGTGATCAGGGATCACATGAGGTTGTGCCATTTGCAAGGAAGGCATAGGAAATTCTCCTTTATGGATAGCTGGTTGCAGAACAAATGTTCAGACACTATTCTATCAAATAGAAATTAAAAAAACCAAACCCTTCAAGACTACAGAACTGGATATCTATTTTTTTTTCCTTTGGAAAAGACCCTGACTTTGTCATCTTGTATTGGTCTCTAACTTGACACATTAACTGTTAAACTTTTAATGCACTGAATTAGGAATATATACATGTATGTGTGTGGACATGTATATAAACCATGTATACAGACAACTGGAAAGAGAGAAAGAAAGAGAATGAAAGAGATTAAATTAAAAAAAAAATCACAGCTACCAGGGCCTGATCCTGCAGAATCCCTTGTACTTTGAGGTAATGCTGATGCAACTACTGTACAAACTGTGATTGCCTTCCCAGGACATGGGACCAGCTCTCCAGTGGGGAACATTCACTGAAATCAATGGCCATTCTGTGCACACACACTTTAAGGGCCTGATATTTGTTGCTTCTTTTCTGAAGCAATTAATGAAGCTCTGTGTGTAATTTTAAAGGCCCTTCATGAACTAACTGGAAATCTACAGCACTGAACATCAGTGAACTCATATCCAAAACTAATAGCTTCAGTATTGCTGCCAAAAATTGACTAAGCGCTCTTTGTGCCTGCAAATGGGGTTCTGTGGGCAGTATCCTTCTATCTGCCTTCAAGGGATAATCTCCTCTTACAAATAAAACAATTGTTTCATTTGCTCATTGCAATGGTTGAATGAAGCTGCAGAAACGAATCTCACTGGTTTTGAATGTTCTCAAGTCAATCAAGAGCGGATTTGGGGAGTGGGGTGGCTTTCAATTACCACGTGTTGCTATTTGTAAAACTAGTTTTAAAAATGTCTTTTCACAGGTTTAGATGTGGCTCATGGAAAATACTAAGCAAACCATTCCCCTCAACATACCAAATTAAAATATGGCTTGAATATAGTGCAATAGTCAAAAATCCATATCTGCATGATCAAGTGCCCCATATATTAACCTTGGAGTGAAAACAAGGAATAATCCAGTTAGCTCTTTAGCAAATAAAACAATGTTGGAGTAATTACAGAAAATAGTGGGCTGCAACCATCCCTTGGATACTTTCAGAGCCAGTGCTGTAGTCCAAGGGATCAATTTGTGTTTGTAACAAGAATGATAAATCTAACAAAACATCTTTATTTTTACAGTACGTTAAAGAAGCATTTTTATTTAGTGCAGTCATATATCTCCACATTATTCTGAAGTATGCTTCTTTATTGCTTTTATGTCTCCAGAACTGCCTGAGGAAAGCATCCTTTTCTCCTTGTGTTTCATTGTTGTTACCCTTGTAGAGTATAACATGCACAAACTTGATTATGATTAATTGAGAGCTTCGGCAAATTATGTTTTTTATTCCTTTCCATCTAAGTCTTCCATCTGCTCAAGAATTAAAAAAAAAAAAAAAAAAAAAAGAGAAATCTTACATTTATAAGGACACTTAGGGCTTTCTGGATAAATCATCAGAACAACTGGTTCAGCAATAATGGCTACAAGCAAAGTCTTCCTTCAGTCTTACATCATCAACACATTAATGCATCTCCATCCTACAAGAGAGGCGGGAGAGGGTAATAACTCGTCCAACCTCATTCAATCTTGCTGCAGAGCTGGAATTTCAAACTGAATCCAACCAGTTTAGGACACTGCTTGACTAGATCCTGCCACCAAAGAACCACTTGCAGCAGTGAAGTGCAAGGTCTGTAAACATAAACAGCCGTGTCCTTCGGCACAGTGCAGGCAGCATCAAGCTGGTTATTTTTAAGAGGCACTGCTGAAATTTTCACCCAAGGTGTTGCAGCTGCACAGACCAGCCCATTAAAGCTGGTGTACCACATCAGATAAAGCCCTTCCTTCAGGGTTTATGATTCAGGTATAAATGCCTGCCATCCCCTGGAAACTGGCAAATGAGGGTGCACTTGGCAGGCTGGGGTTTTCTTAATAGGATGAATGACAGAAGCAAGAGGTCGTGTTTAACCTGTACGACTGTGAGGAGGAAAAGGCAGGGCTTTTTCATTAAAGACAGCCTTGTTCTCCAGCCTTGCTGGCACACAGCACACAGTGGGGATGAGAAGGCAAAATTATTGAGAAATTTGCTCCTCTGAGACCACAGAGTTGAAATAACAAAAGAACCAAACAATTTTAGCAACCAGAACACAGATACAATCAGCCCTTAAAGGACTGGTCTGGACAGTGGTGGTGTGGGGACAGGGGCTGTGGATTTATGACAAGGTCAGCACCAGTGGCATTTTTCTTACTCAGCCAATAACATGAATTGAGTTGTTGGCCTTGGCCCAGGTCCCTGTGAGCAACACTGCAAGTGACTGACACCACACCACTCTGGAAGCACCACTGAGCAAGAGAGGTTAAATTTGCACACTTGGCATGGGTGGGAGCCACAGAGCACTGGTGTGATCTGCTGCTGTAAGAGCTGTAAAGGCAGTGACTCCCATGGCAGGTATAAAAATCACCACCTAAGGTGGGTCCCATTGCTTGTAAAGGTGGCATCTAGTGACCAGCAGGAGAGTTACTGCAGTGTCACTGCACACAGGGGGTCAGAGTGGAGACTGACAAAAGATAAAAAGAGAAAGAGTCCATGGTTCCATTGAATCAAACCAGATTTAGAGGTAGATACAGAAGCTACACTTCCTCTGCCAAGGTTTGTAGAAGATCCTTGTCAAATATGTACTGACAGCAATGCTATAAAATCTCTCAGCAGCTCACTGACATACAATTCTCTGGTAGCCTCATAGGACTACTCAAGAAGACTCAAGAAACTACTTTGAATAATAGAGATGGTTTGTATGGAAAAACATTTCTGTGGAAACAGCAGTATGGATCAAGAGTCCTCCATGGCAGAGTGAACAAAGTACAGAGAAATGGCACTGATGAATGCAACATGGTTGGTAATCCAGGCACGACCCATGTACCAGGAAAAAGCAGTCCCTTCTTAGCCAGGAAAGGAGGGGTGTTCTATTAATCAAATCCAAAACTGTTTTATTCCCAGTTGAACTTCCCTTCACATTGGTCAAGTGACTTCAGCATTCCACTTCTGAGGCTCACAAAAAGGAGAGGCTGCATTCACCCACACCACTGCACAGCTCTCAGCAAGAATGATTCACTGGAGTAAACTTTTCCAGTGATATACATCACCCTTCCCTCTCCAATGGCATGGTTTGGACAGAAGTGAGGGATGCCTGATGACCTCACCCCTCCAAGAAGCAATCCCTGCACCTCCAGGCCCAAAGGGATCACCACACAGAAATGAGATCAGTAATCTGGTGACAGAGCTACTGGAATCTCTGGTCAGAACCCCCTGGAACAGCTGTCCCAGCTGCTCTGGGGGCTGCTGCAACTGCTGCAGTCCCCTCCCTGTGCTCACAAACTGAGTATACACAAGGGCACAAAGTCAATTCAGTCCTCTGTGGAAAGCCCTGCATGAAGCCTCTTTAATTTGGCTTTGTGCAAGTGTGTGAATCCCATCCTGATGCCTTCTGGGTGCTCAGGGAAACATTAGAATGGCAGCACAGCAGAAATGGAAAAGCATTCTCATTCTTTGGCAGCAAATAATTTATTTCATGTCCACCACCTGTTTGGTTTTTTTCTCCTGCTGCCTGTGTTTGTGATTGTAAGGGAAATGAATTTCTGAAGAGTTTAGCTAATAATTATTGGTGAGAAGATCCTGTCAGTGTCTCAAGATAAATAAGAATGGGTTCTGGCTTACACCAAATGCATGTCACATGACTGTCTCATTTTTCTAATTTAATAAATATTAACCTTTCTGCCTTTTAGGGGCATTGTACAAGTTTTTTTTTTTA